AGAGGCAGTGCGGTTGGCGCAGGATAGAGCAGGGTTTAGAGCTGTTGTGCATAGGGTCGCTATGAGTCGGAAACGACTCGATGGCACATAACAACAACAACAATTTCACGTATATTGATGTCATTCCCAAATTATTTATATTATATGCCTCTTTTGAATATGACTCCTTATCACTGGATCTATGCTTTTTTTTTAAATTCAGGGACGAGCTGATTTTCAGAATTGATTTGCAAGAGTGTTAACTATTTCTAGTAGAAAATTCCAATATTAAGAGAATTATTTGATGTTTTACTTAACAAAATTTATTGTGGGATGACCCACAGAACTCTGCTCTAATAGTGTTTTTCTTTCCTAAATGAAAAATAAAGAATTTGATCATTTTATTGTTACTATTCCTGTTTTTGCAGACTTTGCCTAAGATACTCAGCCATATTGCCCCAGCATTTTGTATGAGCAGTTGTAGTTTTGTAGTAGAAAAATCTAAAGAATCAACAGCACGTGTTGTAGTGTGGAGAGAAATAGGAGTACAAAGAAGCTATACTATGGAGAGTACTTTGTGTGGTTGTGATCAAGGAAAATACAAGGTAACACATCAAGACTTCCAATAAATTGACTACAGCAGTTTCTAAATGTACATTACATGATATGCTTGTTATTTGTCAGTTAGATGTGTGTAATAATTATGGAATTGAGTAATATGAAATCTTAAATAGACTTTTTTCTTCATTAATCAAAATAGATTGATTAAGGCCCTTGTTTATTCTTTTTTATTTGAACTTGTTTATATTAATCACTTTACGAAAGCATATTCTTACAGACATTTAAATACTGGTTAGTGTACAATGAAGTTTGCAAATGTTGTTATTGTTGTTATGTGCCCTTGAGTCGCTTGCGACTCATAGCGACCCTATGTACAACAGCCCTAAACTCTGCTCTGTCCTGTGCCAGTCGCACTGTCTCCGATACACCCATCCCGATTACCCCAGTCACTGAATCAGTACACCTGGTCCCTCCTTATAACACGTCCAAAGTATGTTAGACGGTGCCTCAGAATCCTTGCCTCCAAGGTGCTGCCCGGTTTAACCCTTTCCAGGATGAATCTGTTTTTTTCAAATAGTTTGCAAATAGTACTTTATTAATACAGTTTTTGTGTATAATGTAAATTTTTTATGTACAAAGTAGTTTATTCCATTTGGGGTTTTTGTGTGTAGCTTTTACGTGCATATTCTCTTACTAATTTTTTTTTCTTTGCCAAAATTTCTCTTCTTGGTGAGGTAAGTTTTTATAGGAAACTTAGAATTCCAGCTTTACTTTGGAGCTTAGAGATTATTAAAATGTTAACTGATTTTGAACTTTTCAATTTTAAACATTGAGGACTTCATGGATCATGAATTGGATCATTTTATACCTGAATATGTATATTTTTTTGCTTTGCACATAGAACTTTTAAGTGTCTACTAATTATTCCACTGGTGTTTTGTTTACTTGTTTAGCATGGGGGAATGGATTCTAAAATTGTGTGGTTCTGTTCTGGTCACTATGAGTTGAAAATCAACTTGAAAACACCTAACAAAAACTGCTGAATGGGAAGCCTATGATTATAAAATTGGTGAAGTTTGTGCACAAATGTCTTCACCAGTTTTGTTGCTTTATGTCTTATTGTGAAGAGGTGGGGTTTTTTTTTTAGTTCTTATTATTATTATTTGAAAGTTGACCAATAGATAAATTTTCATTTATTTATCAATACACAGTTTTTCCTCCTTTCCCCAGTTCACTTTGTAATGCATATCTTGTCCCAGACTGTTAATTGGTATACATAGACTGTCTAATCATCGTTTGCTTTCAGATAGTCTTCCATCTCAGTTGCTATGGAACATAGTTTATTATTACCTCATCAACTTACATTTGTTTCCCGTTTTTGAATTAAGTTTTCACACATGAACTTCCCCATAGCACCATCATTGCAAAATGTTTCATTTTTTTCCCTCCCAGGTATGTTGATAAAAATAGTTTTCATTATCATGAATGAAAATAGATTTTTTAGAAAATAACACTTTTATTGTAGTTCATTTCCTTTGAGGATGAATGATTTTACCACTGTTAAGAAATATTGAATCCTAGTTATATACAGAACACCAAACTTTTTACTTTATTAACATAAATACCTTTTCTGTAATTTCAATGTTATATAGCCCAAGGACTATATAATTTCTATTTATGTTTGTAATGTTGCTTTATTTCTAGAGTTTGCAGATTGGTACTCGAGAATTAGAAGAAATGGGAGCAAAATTTTGTGTTGGTTTATTACGTTTGAAAAGACTAACGTCTCCACTGGATTGTAATCTTCCTTCCAGCCTTCTAGACTTTGAAAATGACTTGATTGAATCGAGCTGCAAAGTAACTAGGTAGGATAGATTTATTCTTTTTTTTACGTTGCATTTACCTATCAGATCTCATATTTGTTAAGCAGAGGAAAGGCAATGAGATTTCTATGTCCAAGATCATTTTTAGAAATGATAAAATTAATTTTATACAGCTAATATTTGCTCCAAATTATGTAATACTCATTTTGAGAACAATTTAATATTTTTTAAAATAATGAATTGATTTAAAAATGGGTTTTTTCTTTGTTATTTGAATGCATGTTTACAAAACAGATTGGTTTTTCTTTCAACCACTCACAACCATTTTGTTTTTTAACATTAATGACAGTATCCATAATGCAGCCATATGTTTCCCACTTCTTGCCTGTAATTCTCATTTTCACCAATCCTTTTGTTCTCCCCTTTGGTGACTTTTGGGCTCTAACTGGTAATTCTAAGGAGGGAGTGCCACTATGCTATTATTGGTCGTGCAGCCCTATTGGTTAAACACAGCTGAGCCACAGGGTGAATTTTATTCCAGAGTAGAAAAGTGAATTAAGTCTTGGGGTTTTGCCAATCTCTATTGAACCAGTAACCCTGGCCTTTCTTTTTCTTCTTTATTTTCTTGACTGAACTCTATTTATTTCCCTTGGTATTTGTGTGTTTCCCCCCATTTTGTGATTCTCCCTCATTTCTAATCTCTCTTATTCCTCCAAGAACGATTCTATCTGTATATAAACCTTTTCTTAGCGTTTTTATGTATAGTAGTTGTCTTATACCATAATTATATTTTTATGACAGTCTTTTGTCACTCAGGAGAATTTCTAATTCTAGAAATTCTAGTTTTATCCACATTGTACAAATTCTTGAGAATTTTTTAAAAAGGTTTCTATTTTCTATTGGTTTGCATACAAAATTCATATACATTGTGTTTCATTGGTCTATGTTGTTTCACATATTTTTTCATTCACATTGTTTCATATAATGCCCATACATTCTGCTGTAGAAAATTAATCACCATTGATATATGGCAACTATTACCCTATCTTTTCAGGTCTCCAGTAGATCTTCCTGATTCCTTCAACCCCTCTCTCCATCCATAAAACTCTGGGACCCTGTGATTTTCCCCCTTCCCATCCTCAGCTCCCTCTCCCCTTTTAAAACTCCTTTTCCCTTCCCTGTTTGGACATTTATACACATCGTATTAATTATACTTCTGTTTTTACAATAATGGTTATATGCAATATTTGTCCTTACGAGACTGAGCTTGTTTACCCAGCTTAATACTCTCTAGCCTCTCTCATGTTATTGAATAATTTTCCAAATAGTTACTTTTGTATAGTATTCCATCACATGAATGTACCACATATTTTCAGTCCATTTGTTCACTGTCAGACATTTGGGCTGTTTTTCTTGTTCTTGTTATTGTGAATAACACTGCTATGAATTATCAGTGTACAAATCTCCATTTGTGTCTCAGTTCTGTTTTCTATAATACTCTACTAGTTTGTTCGCTTTTTTTTTTTTTTTAACAACTCATCTGTCAGTTGATGGGCACTTGAGTTGTTTCTGGTTCTTTGCTATAGTAAATACTGCTGCAGTAAACATGAGTGTGTGAATGCTAGTTTGTGTTGCAGCTCTTATTTCTTTGGGATCAATACCTAGTAATGATATTGCTGAATCATTTAGTATTTCTCATTCTAGCTTTCTCATTTTCTAAAGCCAAACTGCTTTCCATAGTGATTGTATCATTTTACATTCCCACCAGTAGTGTAGATTTCCGGACTCTATACCTTCACCATCTTTATTCTTTGAAGTCTCGTTAAGTAAACAATACTTTTGTTGCCAGGCTGAAATGCTAACTTAGTGTTTTGGTTTGCTTCTCTCTAGCCTAACAACACCAATAATTAATGATATTGGAACATTTCTTTATATGTTTGTTGGCCATCTGAATATCTCTGGTGAAGCATCAGTTCATATTCTGTATCCATTTCTTAATTTTGTTGTCTCTTTTTTGCTTGATATTTTAATGTTTTGTATAAATTGCAGAGTTGAGTTAGATATGTCATCATAAAATATTTTTCTATAATAGTTTTCTCTTTTTATTCTTTTGGAGAAGACTTTTGAGACACATATTTAATTTTACAAGGTTGCAATCATCAAGCTTAACCTCTGCTGATTGTGTATTAGTTACTGTGTTATAGCTTAGAGCTCCTTAGTGTGTCCCAATTTTTTCTTTGATGATCTTTATAGTTTTAGGTTTTATACCATGGTCTTTGATCCAGCTTGTGTTAATTTTTGTATATCGTGTGAGGTACGGGTCTTGTTTCAGTTTTCTGTGAATAGATACACATTTTGCCAGCCCCTTTTGTTAAAAAAAAAACCCTATCTTTTTCTCATTAATGGATTTTGTCTTGTCAGTGATCTGTTGGCTGTTGGTAGATTAATTACTTTCTGGGTCCTCAGTTTTCTTCCATTGGTCAGTGTATCTTTCACTGTACCAGTACCATGCTTTTCTCATTGCCATGGCTGTGGACGGAGCTTTACGATAAAAAAGTACGAGGTTTTCTACTCTGTTTCTCTTCATTGTTATCTGTTTATCTGGGACCTCTTTCCTTTTTATATGAAGTTGGTGATTGCCATTTTACCCCCTCTAGGATTCCACCAGTGTAGGACTTTTGAGAATCTTTTCATCTTCCAAACCTATGTTTCCTTTTATGTGTAGTCCTTTTTATTCATCCAGATCTGTTGCTTTTTTCCTTTATTACTTTTCACTCTATTTCTTTACCTTTCTCTGTCTACTCTTTCTTTAGTGGTATTGTGCTGAACGTACCATAATTGTGCTTTATTTTTCCCTTTACCTCTTTACCTCTCTTTAACTAATTGTTGATTTTTACTTTCCTCTCCATTCCTGGTAACCATCCAACAGTGAGACTTTCTGCACATAAACCTTTCTTTAACTTTTTATATTAATAGTCTTGTACAATATTTGTCATATTTAGGATTGATTTCATTAGGGTAATGTCCTCCAGACACATCCATGTGATGCAGTTCTTCAGTGTTACATAGTAATCTACTATGTGGATGTACCCTAGTTTCTTTATCCATTTATCCATTGATACACACGAGTTTTTAATTTTTCTTTGCTTTTGTAAATTATATTGAAGTAAAGATGTATCTATGTCTCAGCTTTTATTTATTTAGGATATATACTTAGAAGTGCAATTGCTGGATCAAATGGTATTTCTATTTCCAACTTTTTAAGTAAGCACTAATCCAGAACACTTTGTGATGATATGAATGAAACCTATACTTAGAATAAGAAGTTGTTGTCCTAACAGAGCAAGGGAATACTGCATGGTTTAAAAATCAAGAAAGGTGTGGGCTGTATCTTTCCTCTCTATATATTCAGTGTATGCTGAACAAATCGTTGAGAAGCTGGACTGTGTGAAGAGAAATGTTGAATCAGGTTTGGAGGAAGACCTGAATATGGATAACCCTGCTGGTAATTTAAATACTGGTGGCATAGCTTCAAGCACCATAGCAATGCATAAGTCACTACAGGATGACAGACTGACAGATGAGTGGGGGAACCATCCACTAGTCTTGGTGGAGTTGTGGAACCCTCCACAAATGTTCTAAAATAAGTATATCTTTTTAAGTAACCACAGATACTGCTTATCACAGATATCTTCTCAATATCTTAATGTCATTGTTGTTATGTGCCATCGAGTTGCTTGGTGTGTACAACAGTTTTGAACCCTGCCCTATCTGAGCCAGTCTTAGGCTCTACGACCACCTAACCCTTTTTCTTCAGTCACTGTGTCAATCCATCTCATCTGGGGTCTTCCTCTCCTTCCCTGTTCCTCCTCCTTCCAAGCATCCTTCTTCAAGGACTGGTTCATCCTGGCCATATGCCTAATGGATGTGAGACAGTCTCACAGTCCTGCCTCCAAGGAGCAACTTGGTTTCTCTCTCTTGGACAGACCTTTGTTTTCTTGACAGTCTGTGGTATTTTCAGTACCCTTCTCCAGCACCACAACTCAAAGGCATTGATTCTTCTTTCACAATCTTTAGGCATTATCCAGCTCTCTGATGCATTGCAAATAATTGCAAAGACCACAGCTTGGATCAGGTACATCTTAGTCTCCAGACTGACATAATTGGTCTTCAACACTCTGGAGTACATTTTCCCCAAACTAATTCATCTTTTGATTTTCTGACTGCTAGTGCCAAGTGTGTTATTGTGAAAGCAAGTAAGCTGAAATTATTAATAATCTGAATCTCTTCTCCATCTGTCATGGTGCTGCCAGTTGGCCCAGTGGTGAGAATCTTTATTTTCCTTATGTTGAGCTTCAATCTATATTGAAGGCTGTAGTCTTTGACCCTCTGCAGCAAATGCTTCTGGTCCTCCTCAGTTTCAGCAAGCAAGGTTGTGTCTTCTGCATAACTCAGGTTGTTGATGTGTCTTCCTCCAATCCTGATGCCACATTCCTCCTCATAGAGTCCAGCCTCCCAGATGATCTGTCTTTCAGATAAATAGAAAAGCTGTAGAGATAGGATTCATCCCTGACATGCACCTTTCCTGATTTTGAACCATGCAAAGTGTTTCCTTGCTGTATTCTGACAACTGCTTCTTGGCCCAAGTATAGGTTTTGTGTTCTGAGATTCCCGTTCCTCTTAAAGTTAGCAACAGTTTATTATGATTCACACAGTCAAATGCCTTTACATAGTGAATGAAACACAGATAGACATTTCACTGGAACTCTCTGCTTTCAGCCAAGATCCATCTAACATTGGCTATAATGTCCTTAGTGCCACGACCACTTCTAAAACGGCTTGCACATCTGGCAGTTCCCTGTAGTGATACTGTTTGATAATTTTCACACTCTGTTGGGTCACCTTTTTTTTTTGAATGGAAATAAATACAGATCTCTTTCAGTCAGTTGGCCAGATAGTTGTCCTCTAGCTTTCCTGGCACAACCTGGTGAGCACATTCAGGACTGAATCTGTTGGTTGAAATATGTCAGTTGGTATTCCAT